GTAATTTTCACAAGGTTCAAAGGTAAGAGAGTTTTGACGTGAGCTCACTGGAGACTCCATCTCAAAATGGCCTTTCATTGCAGATGTACCTGTAAATCATTCAGTAAATTAACTTTAATCATACTAGAATAAAAATCATATGATCAAGTGGATATTTGATGAAATCTTTATCAATGACATTATCCCTTCCATCCAGGTGCTTCACTGTCGGACAGGTGCACACAAACACCCATAGACAGTGTCAAGACATGCTCTTTATATGTTATATTTTTTTGTGTGTAAATTTTTTGATTTATTGACATTTTCCAATTTCTACATTTGTCATTTGATATGCCATATGCCTGGCCTACGAGCCGCATGCCCAGGATATTGGCCACTTACATAACCCACTGCCCATACTTTCAGCTCTGTGATTTCCATGAAGCAACCAGATCCAACAGGTTAACCCCCTGGATCCAGGTACAATGGTTACGTAAGTGGCCAGCATCCCAGGCGTGTGGCGTGTGGCTTGGTGCGCATGAACACCCATGAACAGCGACAAGACTCTGCGCCTCCGCTTGAAAAGTTATTTTGTGAAAACTTTTTTAGCTTTATCGCTATTTTCTATCATCATGGCCTTCAGCTGAGATTTTATGCTGGGAAGTTCTCATCACACTGGCCTTCAGACAAATTTTTCCATGACAGTATGTTCACTTCAACTGCCCCTCAAGACAATTTTTTCATGACATGATGGTCATGTCATCCAGTTTGTAGGGGTTAACAATGAATGGGATAATGTTATTGATACTGATGTCAATAACATCGCGCAGGGCTAGGCCGGAATCTGCCCGTGCAATGGCCACGGCCCGCGACGGAATCAGAGTGCAAGTTTCCATCCAACATCACACTGGCAGAACACCCGGCAATGTTTATTTTTCCGGGTGTCTCATATTTGGGACATCCGTCGTAAATGGGTTAACATTTTTTATCTAAAAAAAAAAAAAAAAAACTTACTCTTCCCAGCTGACCCTATAGAAGTTGAAGATGCATTGCTTTTGCTCCTTCGGAAAAATGAAGAGAAGTATCCTGTCTTAAGCGTCTCAACAAGAGCACTCTTCCCTGAGCCTGAGTGTCCAAGGATCTTCACCTTAATCCGCTGAATGGGGGATGGACTTGGAATGAGTTGCTGGATGTATTCCTCCCGTTGTTGTTCCTGTGGTTCAATTCATTCAGTTAATTACAAAAAGCGAATAATTTCAATTAAAAGTATGCAAAAGAGTAAAGACTTTTTGTGAACATTTTATTTAGTTTCCCCAGGAAAAATATAAATGAAAATAAATATATTTTTCCACAAATAAAAACGCAAAAATATAATGAGAATCATATCTAACAAAGGAGATCTGTGAATTTAAAAACCATTAAAAAAAATCTGTAATAGAAAGTTCTACTGTCTTTATTGATCTTTGTATGAATCTCTTCTCCACTAAGAACTTCTGCTTCTAAACACATTTTTTTGTGCAATGACCGGTATATTTGCATTCTTTCTTCAAGTAAATTAACCACTAACGCCGGTATATTTTGAAGCCAAAAATAAAAGCTTTCAGGCAGCTACAAAATCGGCCGCAGCCCCCTGCTGAGTCGGACCGCAAGCCCCGATACAGCGTCACACCGGCGGGACACATGGCTATTTTTTTTTTTTTTTTTTCCCCAGGTGTCTCATGTGTGGGACACCCATCGTAAATGGGTTAAACATATAAGCATGTCATAAAGAACAAATATCCTAGTTCTTTCGCCACTCAGCTTTGACTATTCCAGGAATTTAGATTTTATACATATATTTGTTGTTAGATGTATCTTAATGTCATCATAAGATATTAGACTGTGAAGCCATGAAATTTTCTGTAAAACATTCAGCAAATATTTTCTCTCTCCAAATTGTACAAAAATTATACTGCCAGATTCTGATACCTCTTTCGAACTATGTGTAAATAAACAAATTAATAATAAACATACCCTCTGAGCTTGTTTAGCAGATCTGCAATATCATCATAGCCTTGGGCCATTGCAGACACCTCCGCCAGAATTCCATCTCGGCTCTTCTGCTCCACTGTGCACCCAGCCAAGCACAAGCACCTAATGGACAGAAGTTTCTTAATTAATCTTAAACAATTTTCGTTGAACAACACAGCAACTATCAGAAATTAGTAATAAGTCACGAATCACCAACAAATCTCATTTTTCCTACTAAGCTGGGATCGGGTATTAAAAAAAAGGGACCTACAGAAAGGAAATTTAGGCTGATATCACTAAAAAAAGTTGGGGAACCACTGAAGCAAGGCTACAAACTTGTGATATTGTGGTACAAACCAGTATCAATCCTTGCACAATTTATACTGAATACAAAACAAACCTCTTCCAAGAAAATACTATAATATGGAATAAAATATCCAAATCAAGTACATTTCTTTAGTTTCAGTGAAGCTAATTTTGTTTGTTAGCATAAATAGCGCTTCTATATACA